CCTAAATGCACTGAGTTGCCGCCATGTGATTGGCTGATTAGAAATTAAGTGTTAACGAGCAGTTGGACAGGTGTACCTAATAAAGTGGCCGGTGAGTGTAATTGTGGATTATAAAAATTTTTTAATCAGAATCAGCTTTATTGGCCAAGTGTGTTGACACAAGGAATTTGTTTCTGGCTGATGTCTCTCTAACACATACACTACTCAAAAAGTTAGGGATATTTGGCTTTCATGTGAATTTTATGGAAAATGTAAAAAGTTGACGCTACAGCAATATCATGAAAGTAGGACATTTGATTAAAAGAATTCACTGGTGATTTCCTCATCTCCAAACAATTTATTGAAACAAAAATTAACAACAATGGTGGGCACAAAAAAATTCAACATCTCAATAACTCGTCATGTGCCCTTGAGCATCAATTACAGTTTGACGTCTTATGCTGTTCACGTCGGCTTATTGTCTGCTGGGGCATGGCATCCCACTCTTGAAAGGCAGCCCTCAGGTCATTCAGGTTCTGGGGTGCAGAGTTTTGAGCTTCTACAAGGCGACTCGGCTGATCCCACAGGTTTTRAATGGGATTCAGGTCTGGAGAAAGCMCAGGCCATTCCATTTGAGGTACACCAGTCTCCAACAGCCGTTCCCTGGTGATGCGACCTCGAGCTGGAGCATTGTCGTCCATGAAGATGAAACCAGGCTTGTGTTGTTCATGTAGGGCACAATCACTGGATTAATGATGTTATTCAGGTACAGTAGTATGGGCTGGTCACTGTACCATTCACAAAGTGTAGGGCAGTTCTGTACCAACTGGAGACACCTGCACACAATGTAACACCGCCACCATCAAAAGCTTGTCTGGTGACAACAGTGGCTGATGCATAGCGCTCTCCTTGATATCTCCAGCATCGCTGGCGGCCATAGTTTCTGCTCAACGTGAATCGACTTTCATCAGAGAATAGCACTGAGACCCACTGGTCCCTCGTCCAGTAAATGCTCCCTGGCCCATGCAAGACGAAGACGCCTGGTGGTGTGGTCAGGTACCCTTGCAGGTCATCTAGCAAGCAGACCACGCCGATGTAACCGGTTTCTAATGGTTTGACCTGACACTTGGGTGCTTCTCACTTCCCTTAACTGTGCCTGGAGTTGAGTGGCATTCATCATCTGGTTTCTCAGGGCATTGTTCACAATGTAGCGGTCATCAGCATGGGATGTGGTCAAAGGACGTCCACTTCTACACATTTCTGTGACTTTTCCAGTCTCTCTTTATCTCTGTTGCAACCTGCTGATGACACTGTGACACTCTAAGCTCAGTGGCCATTTCCATCTGAGAACGTCCTGTTTGAAGTATCCCAATGGCAAGGCAGATGTACAGTATGTATGTGTGCAGTATCACTGCAGGAAAATACATCCCATTTGGCTTTACAGGCATCTGCAGGTCTGTTTTTGACCAAATTTACCTCATCTACCTTTAGTGTTGCTGTTACTCTGTATGCTACATAAACAGAAGATCAAAGACGTAAATGACGGACATCATTTTCGAAAAARGACAGCACACAAGCGTTCTATGGCGTGTATACAAGCATCGACCATAACTTATCCTAACGTTGGTAAATGTCATCTACCTTGCCGGTTGGGCTGGTTTCTCCGGCTTGCTGCTGTTGCGGCGTGTCTCGGTGGAGTGGTGGATGTGGATGGAGTCGCTCGGCCCTCGGATTGTCCCTCGTGTTTGGACGGAGCGCCTGGG